ACAATTTCTATACTTAATGTCTAAGGACTCAATGATAAAGAAAAGCATTGGGAATTAACCAAAGCTCTAACTAGCGAAAGGCATATTTTTTGCTATTCTGAAACTAAAGTCACCACATTAAACCTATTACCCACAACATTAAACAATACTACTATCATCTCTAGCCTCTCTACTGTTGTGGCCAGCAACAGTATAGCAATCTTTCTTATCAAAACAATCTCAAATCATATATTTAAAACATTTACCCTCAATGAATTTTGATATCCTGTCCATTTGAAATTCAAATCCAAAGTAAATATGGTTATCATTTCATGTTACCTTTCTCATGATCCAAACACAAGGAAAATAGCAGTCAAGACACTTAAAAACTTTATCAAAGAACATTCCAGCAAGCACATAATACTCTCAGGTGATTTCAATACTTATCCTTTGTATGCCCCACACATCAATACTTTAACATCAACATATAAGAGACATATCTATTATTACTTTAACAAATTCATTGACATAGCCAAAGTAACAAATAAAAAAGATCAATTCGCACATTATACCAGCAACAGCGTCTCCAAAATCGATCAAATATGGATTACCAGCAATCTAGCAAGCAAAATCCTTTCCTACAAAGTTCATGATCAAATAGCTATAAACTCAGATCACAAACAAGTAATATCTATTCTGAATTGGTTTGAGTACAAGCTCAGCAGAGTCAGCTTTAATACTAGCATCTATCAATTTAAAGAAGCTAACCCAGAAAACATCAAAGCCTTTCAGGAGAACATCAAATTAGTCTGCCAAACTATCAGCACTCCAACTTGGAATACCATTAACAATATCGTCAAAAACTCACTCAACAACAATATCACTAAAAGAACATGTACATCTCCCACTCAAAACATTGATTCTCTTAAACATCACACTAGAGCTCTGAAAGCCATAAAAAAAGCAATTAACAAAAGCAAAAACAATTATAATAACAATAATTTCTCTTCTAAACTTTCAAAAATCACAGTTGCAGCTCTCCAAAGAATTACTGATAAATCTCCATCCACCAAAGATCTCAAAAAACTGATAAAAATCCTGATTAAAGAAAAACTAGTCAAACTCAATAATATCATTATCCAAGAAATACAAAAAGGAATAGAATCAAATTATCATAGATTTTGGACCAGATCCAAAAATGTTCTCAAAAAAGCATTAGATGACCTAAAACCTTCTCTCGACCTTTCAATACTCATAGGCGATAATGATCAACTCCATGATAATCCAGGTGAGCTCACAACCATTATATCCAACCACTTCAAGAAAATCCTAGATCCTAAATCCTTCCTTCTGAACAACAAATGGAATGACCACTACAAACCACTCAACTATATTTCTAATAATACTTTTCTTGATCTTACATCAATAATTTCAGATCTAAAAATGGAAGAAGCATTCGCCAGCCTGCCTAAATGCAAGGCTTCTGGATTTACTTTCATCTTCTATAAAATATAGGTCCACATCGGCACAACAGCAAAAAAACACTTAAAAACTTTGTTAAATAGCTCACTCTCAACAAGTCAAGTTCTCAAATTTTGAAAACAATCAGCAATTACTTTATTACCAAAGAAGTTAGTTTGGTCACATGACCTTACTGATATTCGTCCAATATCTTTTATCGAGACTAGTAGAAAGATTTTTACAAAGATTATCAACAACAGACTTGCCACCAAAATCTTGAAGTACAAAGTCATCTTAGAATTCAATTACGCAGGCCTGAAAAACCAGAGTACCACTGAATCTATTGCAATAATTACCTCAAGTATTAATACAACAAACAATTTAAACAAAGAAATCTGGATTGCATCATTTGATATTTCTAAAGCCTTCGACTTTGTAAATCTTCCTAGCCTTAACAAAACTTTGGAATGAATCAAACTCTTAACAAAATTCAATTCACTACTTTTCAATCTCTTAAATAAAAGAGAACTGAAAATAATAATGTACTACAATCTGTCCAATCCTCTTACAGTTAGCAAAGGCTTAGATCAAGGCAAAACACTGTCTTCCTTATTATGGGCTATCTTTTATGATTCCATGGTTACAAAAATAGCTTCATACTCAGCAACTTCCAAGATCCTTGCCTATATGGACGATGTTGCTCTCACTAGCTTAAGCATGCAAGTCCTATAAAAGACAACAAATATCTTCTGCTCCTTTTTGCTCTTAAATTCTATCAAATGCAACCAAAAGAAGACAGAACTAATCACCAACCTTAGGACAAGGAATTTAAAAAGGAATCAGTTTCTTACCATTAAGAATGTCAAGATTTACCCCAGATTATATGAAGAAGGCATTAGATACCTAGGTGTCTACCTATCAGGAAAATTATTATCCTCTGCCACAATAGTCAAGCTTTCAGAAAAAATTCAAAAATTTATTAATACCATCGTGTTACAAAAAGGCTAGAATGGTATAATAACTAAACAAGTTTCCTACTGTATTATACCAGCACAATTAGACTACACAATTAATGCTGCAGTTCCATTAGAAAGGAAGATAACTACTCTTCAGAGACAAATGAATAGACCTATATAAGCAAAACTAGGTGTCAAGCACACTATTTTCAACAAAATTTTACACTCTCATGCTGGCCTCAACACAGTCAAACTTCAAAATCGTCGTGATCTAACTGCTATTAAAATTTTCACTATCAAACTCACCAACCATAAAACTATTCCATTTACCTTAAAAGAGATCACATCAATACAGGCTGCACAAGCAATCTGGTGCTACCCAATCTGTATTTCCTACTATTTTGAAGAGTCTTGGATTACCTCTGCAACTATCCTAGCAAGAAAATACAATATCAGAATCTGTTTATTCTCCTGCCTCCTCAATTTAAACAATCACGAACATTCTATAGGATTAACCACCAGGCTCAAGAAACTTGTTGCCCTCTCCTTATTCTACACCAATATCAAAACCACCTACAATATATATATTTATAAACGAAATATTAAACTCTTATGGGAAGAGATACACATACATAATCCCTGGCCCAATCCCTATCTGATTCTCCTCCATTCCAACCACATCTCCAATAATCAAGGGTGACTCAACCTTTCTCACCAAAAGCTCTAACATCAAATTCAGAGTCTTTCTGTATAATAATTCTATCAATCTTATTAAAGTCTATACAAATGTTATTCCTTCATCAACCATCAAGGGCCTATATCACCAGTTGGATAACAAAAAAATAATTTCTTGCTCATGTCCAACTCAACCATGCATTAAAGAAATAAACACCTCTAACCTCAAATTTGTCTGGTATATCATATGTGCAAATTCAAATTACCTTCTCAATAACATTCAGAAGCTCTTGGACTCCTTCTCAAGTATACCACAAACCAACCCACAGATAATTATCTCATCTTCTCTGTCATCTGACCAATCCATCAATATATTTTTTTATCATAACAAAGGCAATAATATCTTGTTAGTTTCCAAACTAGCCAACACCCTAACCTATACCTTGCATTCTAATTTCTGGAGCATTTTTTGGCCAGTACTTTTTCAAACAATCACAGATCTCCCAACTCATTCATTACTCAAAATTTATCTTAACAAAATCTCTGATCTGAAAACTTCCAAATACTCAAATAGATTAATGAAAATTTCTTACAACAGACTTATTAATTAATATATTACTCTTATAGCAGCAAATAACATAAATATTTCTTGGTACAAATTAAAAGACCATCAACCACCACCTGCAATTCTTTCTGCCATTAATTTATCAATTCCTCAATGTTTCTCCCTCACATTCACATTCTCACTTTTAATCAATAATACTTATACCACAAGTGTCATATACTGGATTAAGTTTATAAACTACTACACCAACTTATTTGATATATTTCTTAATCAATCGGCAATTTACAAACCCTTATCTTTCATGAAATTGATAACCATTATTAAAGCAAACAACAAATTAAAAACATTCAATCAAACAAAATATAGAGCATTATCAATATTTAGAATAAAACTTTTTGCAAACCAATTTCCAACCAGAATCAAACTTCATAAATATTACCCTAGCCTCTATCTTAATAACATGTATCCAACATGTGACACATACTCTGAAAACCTATCACATATCTTTTCCTGCATCCATAACAAACCCTTAATCAACAAAAAGAAAATCAAACTTGAAAACTTAATTTTAGAGCTAAATCCCAAAAGTATCAAAGCTACTGACTTCATTGACATATTCAAGTTAACAGATAACAACTTATTAAATCTAGCAATTGGCAAATTTAATCATCCATTCAATTTTCTTCAAAAAAAAAAAAACATATCCAATTACACTCTCAAAATTTTATACAAGGCCTGAAAGGTATATTCCACCTCAGCAACTATATTGCCAGCATCTGAAATAAAGTGGAAAAAAACTTCTACCTTAAAATTACCAAACATAGGAGCAAATAGCAATTCAACGTTCAATACAATTCTAAATTTAACAATTACATCTCACAATTATACTGACAAGTCAATATTTACCCCAGCAGTAGTATCATCATTTTGAACAGGCATTAGCCATTCAACACTATTGTTATGAGTCCACTCCCATAATGGTACCTGGTTTCAATAGATTTGTTGCAATAGACTACAATTAATTTACTATGTAAAGATTGTTAATGTAATGACAGTAAATACTTCTTATTTAAATAAAGTCTCACATTTAATGCTTATTTGCGATAAAAAAAAAAAAAGATTATTTATTAATACTAAAAGATTTATATTTAATTTTTCGCAAAAAATTTTGTGCCACCCTGTATATACAAATCTGTAATTTTAAATTCCACCCGACTGAATCAGATTGTCCAATCACTTTTTTCTACCCTTCACAAAATATTGGGAAGGTTTCAACACTCGCTGGTTCGGTGATCGCATCGTCGACGCATATAAAAACTGAATTGGAGGAGTTCAATGAAGGCTTTGGTGTGCCATCCATTATTATGGATAACAAAGATATTGAAATGGTCACAGATAGTTATGAAGACGATATATATGAGAGTCAGCACATAGGGAATGATGTAGAGAAGGAAGAAAAGGAGATGGTGGATGCAGACAAGGCTATTGATGATGGTGGATGTAAAGGAAAGAAAAATAAAAGGCAAGATACATATTATTGTGTGTTACTTTTTTCTATTTTCATTACCATAATCCCATTATGATTCTTCTTTGCAGCTTAATTATTGATCCTTCGACTGTTTCGCGTTTTGTTCCGTCAGCCAATAACTTTTTTCCACACTCAAGCGAATCAGGAAAAACAGAAATCTGTGTAGTTGGGATGAAACGCGGAGAGGTAATTCGTATTTCTTATCCATTGTTTTAATAAAAACCACCTAATACCCTAAGATTTCATTGTTGCTTGAAAAGACGATAAGCTTCCAAGGTTATGTTCTTGTATCCCCCATATATGGAGACTCAATCATCATGGGTTATCGATTGCGCTCTGATGCAGTCCTAGGAAGAGATATCGTAGAGCCTGTACAGATTGAAAGCAACAAAGAGCTTGTATTCTATCCATTATTCTCTCCAAAAACTCATGCACTTGTCTGTATCGAGTCAGTGGAAAGGAAAAATGAAGAAACATCGAGGATTTCACATTCTGGAATAAAAACATCACCAGAAATTACTAAAATAATAAACAATCTCTTGAGTGAATTGAACTCCGTAAAAGAGGTGTTCGATACTATTTTGGCTTTCCGCGATATGTCGTGGTGTGGTATTAAAGGTGTGGAATCGGTAGCACAGCCTTTCTTCAAGAGAATTTTTTCCGTTGAAAGCACGATTGAAAAGCAGAATCATTTTAATATCATAGGCTTTCACCCAGTAAATCCAATTAACAAAATACCTTTCATAAAGATTTATTATTTATTATTTATTGTCATAATAATCATCTCATTCAACAGATATTCGATGTTACTCCTGACATAGTGTCCCTCGACATACCTGAATCATGGAAGAACGCAGCTTATCAACTTACGGTAGATACCACAGAATACAGTATGCACGAAAAAGATGCACCGGATGTTATTATAAGCGTGAAAGGTAGAATTCTAAATTTATGTCACTAGGTATTCCGCCTGTTTCTATCATCTGCGGACACCAAAATGTTGGAAAGTCAACATTTTCTAGATATCTGATAAATAGCCTATTTAACGTGTAAGTTATCCCATTACCATTCAAATGTTTATTGACGGCTGCGACGTTATTCTAATAACTTAATTTTCTCCAGTTGTCCTAAGGTTGCTTATGTTGAAAGTGATATCGGTCAACCAGAGTTCACTCCTTCGGGTTTGGTCTCTCTGAACATTCTAGACTCTCCCATTTTCGGTAATATATATTTTTTACCCGTTTGCACTTCCTTAACAATCCAGAGAGAGTATCTTTATGTTGAACCATAACCGACAGGCCCGTCATTTACACATATTCAACAACCTTATCGATCTTACTTTTTGGGCCATACCACTCCCCGTGATGATCCCGATTATTATCTAAATTGCCTACGCGAACTGATAATTGTATACCGTCGCGATATTTCGTGTGGTCCGAATTTTGGCATGTACGCAGATGACAAGACTCCGTATATTCCATTGGTCATAAATACTCATGGATGGGTTAGGGGTAAATACATCTAGGCGTGAAATGATATACACATATTGATTTACAAGTTAAATTGATATTTATTTATATCAGAGGGGATGGGTTACGATCTCTTTATTCATCTTCTGGGTATTATCAAACCAACACATATCGTTCAACTATATTCATCTACAAATACTCATAAAAACATTCGTTCACTTCCCAATCACGTTATCTCTCCACCAAATGAGGATCCACCAAAGATGATATTTGTTGAGATTGTCAACTCAAAGAAGATTTCTACAAAATATAAATCATCGGATTATCGAATGTTATCACTTCTTTCCTATTTTTATTCTAATGCCGTCGCCCTGACTCAAAAACAAGACAATGTTAAATGGTGGAAATATGATAAGCCTTTGATTCATCAAGTTCCTTGGTGTCTGGATTGGACTAAAGGATTATCCAAAGGAGTTTTTTTGTTTTTTGAAGATGTTCCTTGGAGTCAACTGCTTTATGCACTAAATGGATCATTGGTTGCGTTGATTGGTGACGCACCCGGGTTTGGTGGTGATGGACAAGAAATTCCACAGGGGAAAAAGGACGAAAAGATCGTAAGCACATGGTTTCTATGATCACAACAGATTGATACAAAAATAATTATATGTTGAATATCTTTCAATATAGCAACCGCCACTCTATTTTCCGTGTCCGGACTACCCGTCACCACCACCATCCGAGCATTCTTGCATAGGTCTAGCAATAATACGATCAATTGACCCAACCACTCACACCTTCCACATTCTTACTCCACTATCCTATGACAAACTACAGTACGTTAATGCCATGGTCAAAGGAAAATTGGAATTGCCGATATGGTTTAGGTTGGATCATACTAAAAATAATTCTACGGGTGTTTGTGGTGTACCATGGAAACATTTACCATATATGAGTTTTGAAGCTGGGTTGGGTGTTGGAAATGAAGCTCAACGGGTCAGAAAAAAAGGAGTGAAGAGAGACAGTGTAAAAGAATAAATGATACAAATGAGAGCTAATTTTTAACTTAGAATTAGGGACATCTCTTGTGGGTTGCGATAGATCTCTAATACTTTTCATTAATAATATGAATTACTCAATAAAATATGTATAAATTAACTTTTTTTACAGTAGTATTCAAAACATAAAAATTAAATTGTTTAAAGAATTATAAAGTTAAAAATATGTTATATACAGTATGGTGCAAAAAAAATAACAATTGTTATAACTTAATAAATAATTATTGAAAATTTATAAAAATTTATAAATATATATAAATATATAGTTAAATACCTTATAAACAACTTTACTTAATACTGTTTTAATCAATATATTAATATTTTTTAAAATAATTTAATTTCTATAATAAAAAAATTTATAATAAAAATTTTTTACTCTTTTTTATATATATAAAAGGTGATTGGAAATAGGTAAAAAAAAATTGTTTATTTTTAAACATTTGATTTTTTAATACTAAAAAATTTTATAAAAATATATAAATATTTCTAAACATTTCTAATATTTATATATATTATTTTTTTTTATTATATCTTCAAAATTAAATTAATAAAATATTAAATTATAAAAAAAATTATTTATGGAATTATTAATTAAAATATAATTATAAAAAA